CCCGATATTCTTGTGTCTCCTTTTCACGTTTCACCTCCACGTTGACGTATCACCTTAACCGGTCAAAACCATGTTTCACTACATGTTTTCGATGACTTTCAAGCTGGTTCAACCTCAATTTGCCCCCATTTACACTGTTGGACTTTTCCAGCCTCGCGCGATGGCTTCTTCATCTCCTACAACGTCAATTCCGATTCAAGAACCGGTCTTTCTTCAATTTCTTCACGATGTACATCATGCGTATCTTCTACTACACCGAGCAATGGCCTTACTGCCACCAACACTCATTCCCAACATTGAACCGACACCTTTACCCAGCACAGACGTATGGAACCAACCTGAAGGCCTCCGACCGATCTAATCTGACCAGACCAATGCCTTTATTGATGCTGTACACCTTCCAAACACATCACGGCATGGAACTGTACCTGCACGTCTGTACCCAATTGGTACTTCCAAAATGGGAGCCCCGAGGCACTGCAATGAACGTGCAGAGGGGGAAAAGAAAACTGACAGTTGCTATGGTAGCAAAGCCAGGAGTAAGAGGCAGAAGGCCAACCAGACACCACGACGTTTGACGAGGGGAAGCTGGCTGCCCTGCCAAAAAAGACCCGAGCTGAGGTGGAAGGGTTCTAATCACGAAGCTGAACGGGAAAAAATCACGCCAATGTGAAACCGGCAGGCCGCATCATCGTCATTGGTCTCTATGGCTCTCCGGGCTTTGGGGTGTGATGAGAAACCAAATGTCAAAGTCGAAAAGGTCAAGGCTCGGCCAAGGATGGCACACTGTCAGAGGACTCAGCGAGCCGTCGGAGGACGGCCCGCGCGTTCTCACGTTGCAGGGCAACAGACAAAGCTTGGAAAAGTTGTTCGGCCCCATCACTCGCAGACATCCCAAGTCGAGAAGCGTGCAAAGCGCCCAGTTTTCGGAAGGTGGCAACGGCGGTCGGGCCCCACCCGCCGCCGCAGGCTTCAACCACCAGCGGGATGAACTGTAAGCCTTGTCCAGCACACAGCTGGGCAGTATTGTGGTGGATCTTTTTTCGGATCTCGTAGTTTGCAGCTGCCGAAGCCCCGTCGCCAGCAGAGGTGGCCAACACTGAGCCCCGCATACCACTGGTGGCTGCAAGGTCCATGGCGGCAGGTCCACAGGCCCCCCAGTTGGGTAAGTACACATCTGCAGGTCTTCGCTGGGAAACGGAGGGCCGGCCGACCTCACTGGCTCCAAGTTCCTCGGGTCGTTCCGGCAAAAGCCTCATCTTTTCAACCTCTGGGCTGAGCCCAGCAGCAGTGGCTTTGGCAGCCAAAACTGTTCGAAGGCGGTTGTGACGTTTTGTACGGTCCCCACCGCACGGGCAAGCCCGTGCGTGATCTCCAAAGCGGTCCGCGATCCCGTCGCACAAGGGGCAATAGCCATCAGAACTTGCAACAGGAATACGGAGCCGCAAACGGAGCAGTACCCGAAAAAAGGCAGGGTCCAAGTCAAGGCCAAGGGCCGGAGATGGGCGGGCCAACAGCCATGCCCCCGCTGCCGGCTGCTGGAGTAGTTGAAGGTGGGCTCGGCCACTGGCGTCCTCTGCAGTCACCAGCAGCTGCGCCAGTTGCGCTTTGTCTAAAGCAGCTGAGAGGGCTTGCTGGCGATGGGCTTGGCCACCACGGAAGCGATCCGCTTCCAGGACAACTGCATTGTAGGTTGCAGCAGTCGCAGAGGAAGTTGGCCAGTCCGGGTTGTACCGCCCATCTAAACCTCGACATGCTTCTTGCGTGGTAGCCACAGAGGCAAGGTAAGCAGCTGTAGCATGAACGGCGCATTGTCGAAGGCCCAGCCCCCCGTGCTTAACGCCCAAAGTCGCTTGTTGCCAGATCCGGTCTGGAACTGGGAAGCAGCCAATGGATTCGAGGCAGGCGCGCACTTTTCCATCGAAGGCCACCAGTGCTGCACTGTGGAGCCCAGCGGGGGTGGTGCGCATGTTGTGCACAAGCTTGGTGAAGGACGCGCAGTGCCGCAGCAATTGCAAACTGACTTGTGGGTTGTCAAGCTCGCCCAACGCGTCCAAAACCTTCCCAGCTTTCTGCACCTTGTCGGAAAGAGTGGCTTGGGTGCAGTACTCACTGTCTCGAATAGGGGCCCCAAGGAGGTCGAAAGCTGCTCCTTTCACAGCAAACCCGGCCGGGAACAAGGAAAAGTCAACGGTCGACCTGTTTCCGGCAACAGCAACCAATTCACATTTGGTTGGTTCCAGCACCAGGCCCGCAGCCGCAGCTGTAGTTTGGAGGGCAGCCAGAGAGGAAGCGACCACATCGGCCCGTCCAGCGATCACAACGTCATCCAGATAGGAAAAACAAAGCTCGACCGGGCACTGGGCTGCTTGCCGGAGGGCAGGTTGCAAAGCGGCTGAGAACAGCAAGGGTCCGAGGGGGTCGCCTTGTTGAACACCTTGTGAAGATTGCAGGGTGTGCTCCCCAAAGAGCAAGGCAGAAGAGCTGGTATAGCACCAATCAGCCCAACAGGCTAAGCCGGGAAAAGCTGCTCGAGTCTCAGACAAGATGGCCAACCGGTCAACGGAGTTGAAGGCATTCTTGAAGTCCACTTTGAGCAGCACCTTATTCACATCGGCTTGGTTACGATCCACCCATTGGCGAGTGGCATGGACAGCGGCTTCCCCGCCCATGCGTGCCCCGACCCCAACCTGCAAGGGCCAAAAGTGGTTGACAGCGTCCTCCCGCACAGCTTGGCAAAGCGCCTTGCTCACCAAGCGACGCAGAGTCTCGCCAACTGCAATGGGGCGTACGCCGCCCTGTTTCTTGGGGAGGGCGTGAAGGCGTGCGCCGGCTAAGTGGGGGGCCACAAGCGCAGGCGCCTCTCCACGCGCTAGCAGCTGACACAAAGCAACCAGGTGGGAAGCCACCTCATCGCCGTGAGCGGTGGACAGCGTTTCCTTCAGATGGTCTGCCCGGAGGCCGGAGGGTCCAGGAGCCGAAGCTCGGGAAAAGCTGCGCACTGCCCGGACAACGTTCTCTTTGGTCACTTCAGGCACTGCGGCCGGACGGGCCGGCCCAAGCTGAGCCACGTCCGGAGGAGCAGCCTGGGGGTGTTGGGCGGCTAAAGCTTCCAATGTTGCCCGTGAAGGTGGCAGTGGAGGAGGCTCCGTCAAAGCAGCGCATGCTCGAGACAATTCGCCGAGAGCCTGTGCAGAGGTTTCTACAAAAGAGATCTTGGAGATCTTTTGAGACCTTGCCCAAAGGCCCCTTACAGAGATCTTGAAAGAGACCTCTTATAGAGATCTTGAACAGAGGTCTTGCCAGGGCACGTCTTACCGAGACCTGGTACAGCGACATTGTAGAGATCCTGTTGCAGAGATTTTGCCAAGAGGTCTCTGGCATAGATCTTGCCAAGAGAGGTTTTATAGAGAGCTTGTACAGCGATCTCATAAGGAGATCCTGCCATCTCATAGAGATGTTGTGTAGGAGGGCTTAACAAGACACCTCTTGCAGAGATCTGTGCAGAGATCTTGCCATGAGGTCTCTTACAGAGATCTTGCCAACAGAGCTCTTATAGAGATCTTGTACAGAGATCTTGCCAGGAGACCTCATGTGGAGATCTTGTACAGAGACCTGGTGAAGAGAGCAGAGGTCTTGCTTTTGAGATAAAATTTAGACAGTTTGAGCAGAGATCTTCCTGTTTGAGATTCCTTACAAAGATCTTCCGTGGAGATCTCCTATAGACACCTTGTACAGATACCTTACACAATCTTGCACAGCCGCTTCTACAGAGAACCTGTCCGGGAGATCTTGCGCACGATCTTCTACAGAGATCTTCACAAAAGGAACTTGCAGAGTCCTACCTGGCATCTCTTCTTTTCACTACTAGGGTCGCTCTTGTCCTGCTAGCTTGCAGCCAGTGATGCTTTTAGGTCCTTTCCGCCTTTCCTCCACCTTTTCATCCTCATCGTCATCATCGTCATCATCGTCATCATCGTCATCATCGTCATCATCGGCATCATCGTCATCGTCATCATCGTCATCATCATCATCATCAACATCATCATCGTCATCATCGTCATCGTCATCATCATCATCATCATCATGATGCATTATCCTTCCCCACCCCCCTACACTGCTTGGGGCCTCTTGCCGGGGTAATTTGTTATAGCATGCTGTTGCATGTTGTCGCGCCTGCTGCCTCTCCTTGCCACCAACGCACCGAGGTCAAAGCCTTAATGCAGCCTGCCCACTCTCATGTTGCGGCCGTTACGGAACCTCAGTCGCAACGTGTTGGGTAAATGTCGGCAAACCGCTGGCGTTTTCTGTGTCAAGAGAGCTTCCATGTTGTCTTGATATGCGCACCATCCTGATTTAATTGCAGGAACCCATCGTCTAGCAGGGCGGATTATTTCCAGCGAACTTTTGAAACTGTTGGTAGAAACTATAATAATCTGGTATCATGGAACGACATCACGTCGTTGCTCGCTCCCAAACCACGACACTTCGACTACCTCAGCAGATCCCTAACTCAGAAACTTGCAATGCTCTTGGTTGAAAGCGACTATTGTACAGGAAAGAAGGCACAACGAACGTTATTAGCGAATAAACCCCCCCATCCCACCACCACTTCCCGCCCCAGCTGTGAAAGGCGCTACCCGGCGCTACCCTGCGTTTGACCAAACATAGTGGAATTTCATTGTCCCGTTTCCTCATTGGAGTGCTGACCCTTAGTATATAGTAGCGTTGAGGTTGCAAAACAATCGACTTAATTAAAGGATTGGATCAAAACAAAATCCATCTTCGAAAAGGGTCGTGTTTCAAGCAGGTGCGCCGATTCTTCCTGAGGAGTTGCTTCGCGTCATTTTGGATCCTGAATGCCCCGGAGCCCACTAGCTTTGCTGCATGTTGGAGAGAAGGAATAAGGCATCAGGCTGCAATCAGGGGCTTCATCACGCTTCCACCGGGTGTCGTTGGTCTTGTGTCCTCATTGCCCACAGCTGACACCAAGGGCAGGCATGCCAAGCTGCTTGGCTACACAAAGAGACCACCGTGGTGAAGAAAAAAGGAAAACACAGTTGAGAAAATGTGTCCTATTGACATTGCCGTGGACCATGCCTATCTGACAGCAACGCAATGGCGAGATAAATTGAGGAGATGCCACATTGGCAGCATGTAAAGTGTCAGGTGGTTGAGTGGTGCGCTCTGTTTTTTCTGTAGCTGACCTGACAAGGTTATTTGATTGCAGTGGGGTCCTTGGAGACTTTCAGGCCACGCTGTTGCAGGTAATGTGTGGTTCTTTCCTTGGTCACCAGCACCGATACACTGAGATACCCTGCTAAAACTATAGCACAACGTGGCTTTTATTATTTTACATCTATCACCGTGATGTTTCCAGCCCACCAGTATCCTTTCCAGCCAAAAGAGCAACTCAAGTCGCACTGTCCTTGTGGCAATGGTTTTCATTGCCCAGCTGCTTGGCTGGTGCCGTTCGTCGCAGGGAGAACGGCCTTTTGGGTGGCTTCGATCTCTCGCGCTGTGACATCATAGCAGAGCTCTTGGAAGCCTTGGAGGAGCTGCAGTGACGAGACAAACCTGTCCGGGCTGTCCCCGGTAAGTCACTGCTACACAATACTACCCCAGCCTCACGCCATTTTCCAAACAGCATGTGGCCATCGTGTGGGATCCAAACTCTTCACCACCTTTGTTTTTGGCTCACAGCACCAATTCGATTAATCTTCCAGCTTTGGTAGAACCGTCCAACAATCGGCCTCTTGCTTGCATGATTGAAATTAGCTTGATGGAGTATTATTTTTGTTGCTGTCACTATGCAATGATTAAAGCAACTCACGCAATTCCCATCTGTGTGGGACAGATCAGTCTGCAGAGGTTCCCACAGGCGCCTTCAACGCTGCACCGGCAACCCTTTGGCAAGCCCATTTCCTGAGGTCATGGCTGAAGCGAACGAGGCTCCCGAGGCTCCCAGTGCCCCAGTGCCAGATGCCAAGCCGCAGAAGAAGCGCTCCCCGCCTCTTGGCTGGGGGGGTTTTATTTTGGGTGTACTAGATGTAATATATATGAAGTAATTCTTCGGTTTCCACACTAAAATTTTCAAATTGGGACCACTATGTACGGTCGCGTTGAGTCGTGGGCATGTCTATTCAGGCGTGTCGCGTTTTTCACAAAGTGGGGTGCGAGTGAGAGTCCAAGAGTCTTTGAAAAGATTTGTTTTTGCATCATAATATATTGCCATATTCCGAGGAACAGACTAGTCGTTGAAGAGGCCATGAACGATGACAATTCGGTGATCTCCCTTTCACAAGCAAAAATGGAAGAATTGAACCTCTTTCGCGGAGACAACGTCCTCATCAAGGGCAAAAAGCGAAAGGACATTTGCTTTCTCACTGGGGCTTTGCCAGGGCATGTAGAGGGGATAGTGTGCGGGAAGTCAGATGAACATCTCTTGCATTTTGTGAGCCGCTTTCTCGGGGGAAGAGCGACAAAGGATTTGAGTTGGATTTTGCTGTCAGGACACCGTGTGCATCGTTCTTGCAGATGAGAACTTGGACGACAGCAAGATTCGCATGAATAAAGCAGCTTTGGATCTCCAAGAGCGTAGGTCATGTTTGCAAGCTTCATGAACAGGAATGCGCGCGCGCACACACTTACGCGGTGCCCACGCAGAGAGAGAGAGAGATATATATAGTATGTGTATGTGCATAAATAAATACATAAATAAAAATACATAAATAAATATACCAACAAATAGATAGATAGATAGATAGATAGATAATAGATAGATAGATAGATAGATAGATAAAAATATATATAAATATATACATGCAGATATTTGCCCATAGGTGCGTATATACGTACGGTATACGGTTATAATACGATTATATGTATATATATATATATGTGTGTGTGTATGTGTGTGAAACATCCCAATAGATGTAAAACTTGTACCTTGATATATCTTAGTTCCAGGGGAGTGGTGGGCATTCTTGGAGTCAACCCTCAACGAAGACATTCCAAGTTTGCTGTGATATGCAATCTGGACGCAGATTGCACGTACCTGCGCTCGTTATTGCAACCGGCTAAGCTCAGAACCGGCAAGACGATTTGTTTTTCCACTTCATGTCTGGACTGTTGGCGCAATCTGAATTTCAACGAGGATCACGTTAGGATACTTTTGATGGGAAGCTTATGTACGGATGAGGGTGACAAATTTGGACTTCATTCTTCATTATTGGCGCAACTCAAGACTGTGGTTTTGGAGCTTCAGGTCTATTTGTTTATTTCCTCCTGGATACGTCGATGATGGCCTTCCACCTCTGGAGTTTCCAACTCTCTGGCCTGACAAGTGTAACGAAAACGTTTTTTTGCACACCCGATGCGTTCCACATCACAATTCGATAAAACAGTTCTGAGCAAATATGTGTGATGTCGGATTCGACAGGATGACATGAGCCCTTCGGGGAATATCTTTCTAGGTAGGAACTGGGAACCTACTCTGAAATTACAGTTTTCAACGTGGTAATTTGTCTATGTAGAGTGTAACAGTTGGCCTTTTTTCACTTTTCACCCTGTCGTTTGTCGTTGGTTGAACAACTGGCCGCGGTACCGGGTTTCGCCTTCTTTCGCTTTTCAACTTGTCGTTTGTCGCTGATTGAACAACTGGCCGGAGTACCGGGCTTCAATTCCTTTTGTCAGCCGTGCGAACCTCCTTCTTTTTTCAATGTTGCTTGAGAGACAGACTACTGTCATGGCAACATGTTGACGATCTCAGGCAGGTACATGCCTTCAGGTATGGTGACTTTTTCCTCTTTATGGTCGTTGGTGAGGTTCAATTGTGCACTTAATTCGGCTGGGGACTATTGACAGGCGTCTACAGGGTTGAGTTGATTACCGAGGGCCTTGAGCCTTATCTCGGCTCTTGCATGCGATTGTGGATGCATCATTTTCATTAACTAGTTCCCCATTGGTCCCGTATCTCATGCGTGCTCCCTCGCTAGGTCAGGTTTGGGTGCTTCGCGTCATTAGGTAGGTTGGGCTCTCGCCTTGTAGGTTGTGTCAGGCGCTTCCGTCCGCTTTCTTTTCCCTTGCCCTTTCAAGGCTTGCCCGCTCTGGGCTAGGTGTGTTGGTGTTGGTGTTCCCCCTTTTTTCCCTTTCCTCTTTTGCGTTCCCGTTCTCGTGTCCTGGTTAAGTAGTTTGTCATCTCATTCTTATCGTCATCTCATCTCCATTTCCCTTTCGTCATATTCACCTTCATCTCATGTGTCGGAGCCTTAAAAACCTCGCTGCTGCGGGGCGTGCGTGTGAAACATCTCAATAGATGTGTGCCTTGATATACTCTAGTTCCAGGGGAGTAATAGCCACTCAATGAAGACATTCCAAGTTTGCTGTGATATGCAATCTGGACGCAGATTGCACGTACCTGCGCTCGTTATTGCAACCGGCTAAGCTCAGAACCGGCAAGACGATTTGTTTTTCCACTTCATTTCTGGACTGTTGGCGCAATCTGAATTTCAACGAGGATCACGTTAGGATACTTTTGATGGGAAGCTTATGTACGGATGAGGGTGACAAATTTGGATTTCATTCTTCATTATTGGCGCAACTCAAGACTGTGGTTTTGGAGTTTCACGTCTATTTATTTATTTCCTCTTGGATACGTCGATGATGGCCTTCCACCTCTGGAGTTTCCAACTCTCTGGCCTGACAAGTGTACTGTAACGAAAACGTTTTTTTGCACACCCGATGCGTTCCACATCACAATTCGATAAAACAGTTTGAGCAAATATGTGTGTAGTGTAGTGTAGTGTAGGGTCGGGTAGGGTAGGGTAAGGTAATGAAATGAAACTAAATGAAATGAAATGAAATGAGTGTACACATTAAAGGGGATACCCACACACACATGTGCATACATAATACATACGTGTTTTGTTTACTGTATATTTTTTTGGCACCTGATTCTCCCACTTAGGGGAATGAATCCTTTGAGCATGTGAACGCAACCTCGGCTTTCACTTGAGGTGGTGCGAAAAAATCTCCGTGTGCGTTTGGGTGACATTGTTTCAGTCCATGCTTGTGGTGATGTGCCATACGGCAAACGTATCCATGTCCTTCCGTTGGATGACACCATCGAAGGGATTACGGGCAATCTTTTTGACGCTTGGCAATTGCATTTCCGGTATTTTCCAGTGTGCTGGAACCCAAACAGGTACCGAAGGACTTACTGTCAGAGATCTGGACCTCTGCCTTCAGTTGCATTCGGGACTTTCTCCGTCGTCCTACCCTCAAACCTGAAGCATCTGAAAACATCAGGACACCTACCTGAAACCTTACTACTTGGAAGCATATCGCCCAGCGAGACAGGGAGACCTCTTTCTGGTACGCGGTGGTTTTCGTCCAGTAGAATTCAAGGTCCGCATTGGACCGCATTGAGATTTACTGGCAGCTAGCAGAGAAAACCTACGAATGTCTACAATCTTTTCTGTGCCCCCAGAAAACGAAAGAATTAGAAACAGTATGAAACAGTGGAATGTCGCCATATTGTATTAGTTCTGTTGGGTTTTTCTCAGCTGCTGAAGATGCCCGGACGCCATGAATGCTGAAGCTTGCCAGATCTTGCCAGATCTTGCCAGGTGGTCGGTGTGGATCCAGGTGAGTTCGTGATCGTTGCACCGGATACAGTGATTCACTGCGAGGGAGAGCCTGTGAAGCGCGAGGATGAAGAGCGGCTGGACGATGTGGGTTACGATGACATTGGTGGTTGCAAGACGCTTGTTGGAATGTGGCGGTGGCGTTTGTTCAAGTCATGCAATATTGGAAGGTTTAGCTCCTTCATCATCCCCTGCGTCTCTGTGGTGGCTTGACAGCCAGGATTTGACTTGCCTCCCAGCTTGTTTCCCCGTCCATCTCCGATTTTTCCCAAAAGTATCTTCGATGCTGGGGGCAAAATGGAAAGGAAGGGAACGAAGGAGGGAATGGGAAGGGACGGGAAGGGAAATGGGAGAAATGGGTCGTGGAGTGGCTGCTGGGCATGAGGCAGCGTGCACGGACGGAGAGTGTGAGAGGGTGAAATGGGTGGGGACACTGGCTGTTGGGGAGAATGTGGACGAAGGGGAATGAATAGCTTGCTATCAGGCAGGACTTCATCACTTTTTGCGGAGTCATATTGGACATTGCCTTGCATGACGATGCTGAGTTGGCATTGCACAAGCATTAGGAGCAGTGAGAACGACAACGGGTTGTGCTACGGCGTTTTTGCCGTGTGGCAAGGCGTCTGAAACCGCTCAAGGGCAGACTGTTTACATCCTTGTGTGCCAAACCCTGCTGGAAGATGCTTTCATCACATTTCATCACAAGTTCCTGGATTTGCCTGTAAAAAACAGCTGGAAGGGAACATTTTGAAACGCTTCTGTGTTGTGAGCCAAAGTGACCTGGATGCTCTGCACAAACACCCCCCTCAGCGTTCCCGGAATGGAATGATTGACCATCCAGCAAAAACCGCCCTTCGCAAATGAAGAAATATTGCCGCAAATCTTGCAAGCGCAGGTAGTCTTCTAGAAGTTGGCGGCACATGAAACGACAACCAATGCTCTAGCTGCACTGATTGTTGACTCAACCTATGATGCTGTTTTCACCCCGAAGTTAGCATGCGGACAATGCTTTTGGGGAAATAACATGGGCGGTGTGGCGCGGTTTTCGTTGGAATCGAGCCGGTGGGATGTTTGATTTCGGTTTGATTGCTGTCGTTTTGCTTTTGCTTTTTTTCGCCCCCCCTGTTTCCAGGAAACATTAGGACTTGCCTTTCTGGATCTTGTGGATTGTGCTTTTTGGTTCCGGTTTGTGATGGCGTATCGAGATATTATATAATTATATAATTCGAATGTGGCTGGGCCATGCTGATGAGCTGCGAATGTAATTCCATTTGAAGCGGAGTGCCGTCGTTGAAGGAAAGCTATGGGCCAGATCCGAGAGATGATTGAACTGCCACTGCGACATCCAACATTGTCCCTGGGCTGGAATGATGCAACTAGTACATCGTAAAACTTCTTCACGCCGCAAGTGCCTGGGACAACAAGTACTTGAACTCTTGCAACTTTCAGTTGCTGTATCCTGCCACTAAATCGGAGAGCTATCGAGAGGTGGTGCGGTCTTGCTAGATTTTGCCATATTAAGCCCCTTTTCACGGAGACTTACACTTTTGAGAGTATCCAAGGTTCAAGACGCTGGGCGTGAAGCCTCCCCGAGGTGTTCTGCTCTACGGCCCTCCAGGTGGGGAGTCGCCCGGATGGGTCACAATGCGTAAAAAACAGTCTTTTTTCAACATATGTTAACTGTTAACTCATACTGACTCATACTCATTCCTTTACAATAACTCATTCCATTGCTTTGAGTTTCATCCAGCCAATGCGTTGGTGGGTTTGCCTTCTTGTTTGACAGGCAGCGGCAAGACTTTGATCGCAAGGGCCATTGCCAACGAAACAGGTTCTGCCATTGGATTCAGCTTTATTTATAGCGCTTCGTTTGCTTCAATCCTGTTTGGGAAGAGATGTGCACAGACACTTGCATTTTGAATTTCGGTCTTGCACTAGGTGCCTTCTTCTTCCTCATCAATGGACCTGAGATCATGTCCAAAATGGCGGGTGAAGCGGAATCCAATCTGCGTAAAGCATTCGAAGAAGCAGAGTCAGGGCCCAAGCTTTGTTTTGGTAGCAGTAGTTTAAGTGGCTTAACTTAACAACTGTTACGGTGGATCCGTAGTTTTAGCAAGCAAATCAAGGAACTTCATCACTCAAAGCTTATAGTTGAATTGCAAGATTTCAAGCCAGAGGAAGTGACAGCCGTTAGAATTCGACTGACTTTCACCAGATGTTCAGCACAGCTCCCACCAGACAGGGCCCATCACGGCCAGTTTGCATGAGGAAAAATTCGCCTGCGATCATTTTCATTGATGAAATTGACTCCATTGCCCCCAAGCGAGACAAAACATCCGGAGAAGTTGTTGCTTGTCATCGAGTCAAGGGGTGAAAGGGGCTGGCACAGAAACACTTGGGGTGATGACCTGTGGGTTTTGACCCCAAAGTACCTTCTTGAAAACACTGATGCCACATTTGACATGGTTTGTCGCTTGATGTTTAATGTCTGAGTGGTGCCAGCGGTGCCAAGGAAAAGCGCGTGGTTTCGCAGCTCTTGACGCTAATGGATGGAATCAAGGGCCGTGGTCAGGCCACCGCCTTGTCAGTGATCGGTTGTGACCTGAAGTTTGAAGATTTCATGAAACTAGGTATTGGATGGTATTGGCGTGAAGACACTTGATGAAATCTTGTATTCGGTATGGTTTCTCCCAGCAGCTTCCTAGTTGCAGCAATTCTTTGTGCAGGTGGTGGTCATTGCAGCTACGAACCGCCCCAATTCCATTGACGCTGCACTTCGGCGATTTGGGCGCTTTGACCGGGAACTTGACATTGGTGTCCCGGACGACAATGGCAGGCCGAAAGACATGGCATGAGACGTGTCATGTGCGTCCAATCAAAAATCAAACTCTTCATGTGTAATTTGTGCGTGTCACGCAGTGCCAGCGTGGTAGTACCAAAGGAGAAAGGCAATATTCACGCCCTTGCAAGTCACGGTATGAGAGTTCCCATTCTTAGTCTGTTGTCGGGTTCTCAATGCTGTGCCCAAGCTCTGGGCTTTCATCTCAGTAGTCGCAGTGTCCTCGCCATCTCCTTTCATTGTGTCTCTCCGCATGGTCTGGGTTGTGGTGCTTGCCATTACGCTTGTGAAACTGTGCGTTCTCCGCATTTTCAAACACCCAATGATCTCAGCTGAAGGTTTTGCTACAAGCGAACCAGGCCTCCTGGTCTGAGCTGAAACGTCTGGTTTGTGCTTTGTCCACCTTTGTCGCTGCAATGCACCTGCAAAATGTGTATTTGCGCAGGGAAAGGTGAACCTGACCGCTGAATCTTCCCCTGTACGTATGCTTATATAGCCCCGAATTTAGTTCAGTGACCATTTGCTTGGCGCTTTACAACAAATCACGAAAGCTAGCTTGTGCTAGCTGAAGTTGCTCTTGCTGTGGCAAGGAACAGGTAGGCAGCAGGACCTGCGAATGCCTTGAAACTTTATTTTATGTAATGTTATATCGCCGCCCCTCCTCCCAGGCCTGGGTTCAATCCCCCTGCGCTGTGGTTGGAGGGCAGGTACAGGCATCATGTTATGGGTCCATTTGATGTCAGCTCCATCAGCATCATCATCCTCATCGTCATCATTGTCCTCTCTCTTCCTCTCACTTTCTATCTCTTTCCTTTGTATGCATATTCCTTGTCTGCGCATCGAACCCAGAAAGCATTGATCTTCCGCTTCCGTTTTGGGGGCGAATTTCTCACCATATTCTCGTCTCTCTTCAACAGTCTTGATTCTCCAAAAACATTGATGTTCGGCCTTCAGCTTCCGTTTTTTGTTTTTCTACCCATGTTCTAGTTTCTCTTCAATTCACCTTGTGCTTCCAGAAGTATGCCTCCCTTCCAGAAACAAGCTTCATTCACCCCCTCCCACAGGACAGTTGACACTGGCAGCAGATGAATAAACACATTGTTTCGATTTCATATGTCCACTCACACCATTTCACACTTGCACTTTTCGGGCATCCACGGGCATATCCCAGCCAGCTAGCTTTCGTACCTTCACCCCTGGCCACAAGTTGTTGCACCTGTCTCAAGTTCTCGGATGTTGTGTAAATTCGAGGCTGCCGCTCGCAACCAGATCGTGTTTAAAACATATTCAAATTCCTTGCGCCTCCAACATGATTTTGGATTGTGGGACTCTGTTTGAGGGTCCTGTGCTGGCGACATGACAGTCCAAGCAGGTTGGAGATTCTGCGCATCCACTGCAAGAATATGAAGTTGGCGACTGATGTGAAACTGGAGGAATGGTTAGTGCTTTGATTCTACAATGCCGCACATGCTCAGTCTTGTAGAATGGTCTGCGCTTGGAAACGCTTCAGACTGAGAAGCACGATCTTCATTTTGAAATGAAACCATGCCTTCTCTGTGCCTGCTCCCGTCTCTTACTCAGTCTTAATCACTCTTTGCCGCAGGAGGTGGCATCCAACACTCACGGCTTTGTTGGAGCAGACCTGGCGCAACTTTGCACTGAAGCCGCCCTCACATGCATTCGTGACTGGGCAGTGCGTGTTTCGGGGAACAAATAAGGAACTAATGTTCAAAGATTTCCCAAGTAATTGCCAGGAAAGTCCATGACTTGCTTCAGTTGTCTTAGCAAACCAGCACTCCAATCACAACCAAATAAGTGAGAAGCTGGTGGCTTTGATGCTGGGTGAGACGCAGCACAGGGACATGGGTTCAGAAACAAAACTGCTGGTGTGATGTACTTGCCAATGGCATTCGTCAAGGCAGGGCATTGGATACATAGGTCACCTAGGTCATCTGCAGGTTTCACATTGTTTCATCGGTCCAGGTGAGAAGATGGATTTGATCGACCTGGAGGAAGAAACCATTGATGCGGAGATTTTGGATTCAATGGCAGTCTCGCAGGAGATCAAGTCTTATCAAGTCCATTGCTATCCATTGCTAGTTGGGAGCTAGTCGGCTAGTCACGAACTGTAACTGCCATATTGAGGGAAGACGTGGATGCCCGCAGTTGTGAAGTATGTGGCACCTGTTTTCACCCACACTAAGTATGCGATTCCCAAGCGACATGTCTGTTGTTGTGCCTCCATTCCTTGGAGAAATGCGGTTGGTTTGCTTGGATAGATCGATGATGATCGATGTATCTGTCACTTTCGTGCAGCATGTGCGCGATCACCTCCCAGAGATCAATGGATGCCTTTCCCTATCCGAGAAACATCTAGAACCCGCTAGAACCTGTATGTCTAATTTGTGTCGTATTTGTTGCCTCTTTTGCGGTTTCAGCTTGTCATTAAAAGCGTGTCAGTGAGGAGCACTTCAAGTCTGCAATGGGAACCGTCAACCCCTCTTCCTTGCGAGAGACAGCAACTCGGTGTTGCAAAGGAGGCACTTGAATCGTAACGTGTCCACATGTGTCCACAACAATGGCTTGTGAGTGAATTCAATCTGCACTCCTGAGGTGGTGGAAGTGCCAAACATCAAGTGGGACGACATTGGTGGTTTGGAAGACACCAAGCGATCCTTGCAGGAGACCATTTTGTATCCCATCGACCACCCTGAGAAGTTTGAGAAGTTTGGCATGCAACCCTCCAGGGGTGTTTTGTTCTATGGCCCTCCTGGATGTGGAAAGACGCTGCTGGCCAAGGCCGTGGCCTCCGAATGCTCTGCGAACTTTGTGAGCATCAAGGGCCCTGAGCTTTTGACCATGTGGTTTGGAGAGTCTGAGGCGAATGTCCGTGAAGTCTTTGACAAAGCCAGGGCGGCAGCTCCCTGTGTTCTCTTCTTTGATGAGTTGGATTCTGTGGGTGTGGCGCGTGGTTCCTCTCAAGGTGATGCTGGAGGTGCTGGAGACCGTGTCATGAATCAGCTACTGACGGAGATTGATGGAGTGGGTGCCAAGAAAAATGTCTTCTTCATCGGCGCCACGAACCGCCCAGAACTGTTGGATGAAGCTTTGCTCCGTCCCGGACGCTTGGATCAACTCATTTACATTCCACTTCCTGATTTGCCCGCAAGGCAAGGCATCTTGGAGGCAACGTTGAAAAAGTCTCCTGTCGCTCCCAATGTGCCGTTACCCTTCATTGCCCAAAAGACAGAGGGATTCAGTGGAGCTGACTTGGCGGAGCTTTGTCAACGAGCAGCCAAAGCAGCAGTACGTGATGCCATTGCAGCAGATGAACTGCGTGCAGGCGGGAGAGCTTCAAATAACATACAAACAGGACACGTTGCTCCCAGCGATTGTCCAAACAAAGTGTTTGAGCCGTATGCCGTATGCCTGTAAATGGAGTTCGGTGCACCTCAATCCAGTGGAACTGCTTCTGGTGCAAACCTTGTTTCGCAAACCGCTTCTTTCTTAGCCTCCACTTTGTTGTGAATGCTAGTGACTGCTAGTATTGTTACACGCTATTTGGCGTGGAAAGGGTGTTTGCTGCCCGGGGAATCATGTTGCATGAAACAACTTTGAAGTATCTATCCCCTAAAAGCAATGTTTTGTCCCCAAACAGTGTGGCCACACCGAGGGGTTCTTACGGTAACAGTTAAGGCACGGTGTTCAATCGAGGTGGTATCATCCGTGTCCGGCCAATTCCCCGTAAATTTCCATACAGAATTTCCACGCAAAATGGTTCTTGTGAAATGTTCATGTGTATTTCGACCGCGCAGGCCCCCGCAAAACAAGACATCCTTGCCAAAGGACCTCTTAGAGGGAGCTTATACAGAGATCTTGCTGAGAGACCTCTTATGGAGATCTTGTTAAGAGATCTCTTACATAAATCTTGCCAAGAAAGCTTTTATAGAGAGCTTGTACTGTACAGAGATCTCATAAAGAGATCTAGCCGAAATATCTCTTATAGACCTCTTGTCCAGAGGTCTTGCCAAGAGACCTCTTTAAAGAGATCTCAGAGAGAGCCTTGATAGAGATCTTGTACGGAGATCTTGCCAGGAGGGCTCTTAGAGAGATCTTGTACAAGGAGACCTGGTGAAGAGAGCGGCGATCTTGCTGAGAGATCTTTTATAGGGAGCTTGAACAGAGACCTTACTTTGAGGTCTCTGACAGAGATCTTGTGTGGAGATTTCTTATAGAGAGATCTCTTCAAGTGTCTTGCCAAGAGACCTCTTATAGAGATCCTATACAGAGACGTTGCATAGAGAGAGATGTTGCAGAGATCTTGCCAAGAGGTCTCTTACATAGATCTTGCCAAGAGAACTCTTCTAGAGAGATTGCGCAGGAGATTTCATAAAGAGATCTTGTACAGAGACATTGCATAGAGATCTGTTCCGGAGATCTTGCCAAGCGGTCTCTTACATAAATCTTGCCTAGAAAACTTTTCTAGAGAGCTTGTACAGAGATCTCATGAAGAGATCTTGCCGAGATATCTCTTATAGATATCTTGTCCAGAGGTCTTGCCAAGAGACCTCAAAGAGACCTGGGCAGAGAGAGCTCTTGTAGAGATCTTGTGCGGAGATCTTGCCAGGAGACCTCTTATGGAGATCTTGTGTGGAGACCTAGTGACGAGAGCATAGGTCTTCCTCGGAGATCATTTCTAGATAGCTTGGGCAGAGATCTTCCTTTGAGATCCCTTACAAAGATCTTCTGTGGAGATCTCCTATAGGCACCTTGTGCAGATAGCCTCACACAGGGATCTTGCACAGCAGCTTCTACAGAGAACCTCTTCTACAGAGATCTTCACAAAGGGAGCTTGCAGAATCTGACCTGGTATCTTTTTTTCTCACTCTTCGGGTCGCTCTTGTCCTGCTAGCTTGCGCCACTGATGATTATAGGTCCTTTCCACCTTTCCCTTAGAATCCTACACGCACACTGTTTTATTCGATGCTTCTCGAATGACACTCTGCTGGGCTGTTGTTGCTCCTCCTCGCTTGCAGGCGTGAGGCTCATTTGAACTGGGTTCGCGCAGACACAGTCACAGAGTTGCACGCGCGGCATTACATGACCAGCACATGACAAGATTGTAGGTGAACAGTCGTGGCACTGGTTGCATTGCAGCATTGCCATTCTCATACCGGGCGTGCTGACCACATGGCGCAGTACACGTTGGGCGATTTGCTGCCTGGACATCCTGATGAGCATACTGCCTTTTTACGGTTTTTGACTTCCTGCGCTTTGCAGGAACATGTTGCAGTATCAGTTCGATCCTTGCTGCACAGTTTGTCCGCTGGTGCAGTGCAGTTGCGGAGTGATTGCCACCGCTGGGGAATTCGCACAAGGGTCGGGCAGCAGTGGCTGTCAATAGAACAGCTACAGGACGGTGTGTAGATCCTGACCCTGCTCCCGCCCTTTACTGTTGATTCGTTGCTGGAATGCGCACCTTCCACTGTGAAAGACAAGCTGGCTGAACACAGCTCCGTCTGCGTGCCGGCACCAGACGCGACGCGAGTTGTGGAGCTTCTGCTTGCTTTAGGGCAGGTGCCGCAGGATAGACCTGCAGGCCGAGCTCCGAAGTGCTTGCATCAGGCTTTTGCAAAACAGTTCTGGTGGTAGCGCGGCGTCGTTTCCTGGAGCGTCGGCAGGTAGCGCGGTATCGCCTCCGGCGACAGTCACAGGCAGCGTGGCTTTGCCCCCTGCAGCTTTTGCCTGCATTCATTGCTGCTTGCGATGGCCGGTCAGCGCATCAAGCCCCTATCTGGAACGCTGTGCGCGCCCGCTTCGCAGAAGCCCATGCTGCGAACACAACCTGACCCATGTCCGCGGCATCGCGACAAGCCAGCCACCGTTTGACCTTCTGCTGCCGCCGCCAGCCTGCTGACCAGCTGCTGCCGCGACATCGCGCACTGCCACTCACACTGATGTGCCTCTTTGGGAATAAAAAACTGCGGCTGCATAGCTCCGTTCCGTACCCGGGCCTGAAGACCCCACTGGATTCATGTCTCCTCTTCTGTTTTCCTCCCTTGACTTTACCTTGCATGTCCTTAAGCACACTGTTTGGGGTCTCTTGCCGGGACAATATTTTTTTTAACATCTAGAACTCGTCTATAGACTTCGGTAGCGATGACAGGCCCATATACTGACTGTGTGTTCTGAGGATCGCTTAGCGTTTGGGTGTTTAGGGGACGAAAACTTCTGTGAGCGCAGCAAGGTTTCCCAAAGCGCCCAACGTAGCGAACAGAAGCTAAAACTGGGCTCAACATTTCCCCGAATGGGACAGGGTAAACTCAACATCGGATCAACATGCTCAATCAAATGGGTTTCATGTTGGTTCAAACTACAGCCAAAGCAAGTGGAACATCCCGCTGGTTGGAGAAATGTTTCAGGCGATGATGATGCAATGGACACCACCATGGGCTCTGAGATTGGCCGCAAACACTTTGAAGAGGCCTTTGGTGGAGCAAGGCGCTCTGTGGCAGCATCTGACCTCGCCAAGTACGACCAGTTCCGCAAGAAATTTGATCCTATCTACATGAACTCCAGTGCTGGTGGCAGTGGAGTTGTAATCAACTGGCCGGATGATGTGGGTATCGGAAGCGCGGCTGCAGCTGCAGATGACGATGACGACCTTTATGGCTAAACCTGGCTGTGTGAGGTGTTTGTTTCTGTGAAGAAAGGCCCAACCAAAGGTTGACCTCAAGTCATGAGAGATTTGCCTAAAGTGAAGGCGCCATAGCCTCGCACTAGAGGCCTATCCCCGGCATGTATTCTAGTCCGGGGGGAATCGTATGACCCGCAAGTCTGGGACAGGCGAAAAAAAACAGCTCATTGCATAAAATTTCCACTAGCAAATTCAGATGGCTGATTGTGAGCCTGTGTTTGTCCAGTTCGATGGAATGTTGCATACCTTTGTCAGTAAGACAGCCAGTTTCGCACTTGTTGTTTGCTTCCCGAAAGGCTTCGCCGTCAAATTGCAAGATGGTTCCCGTGCAAATCTTGACATTGGGTGCCATTGACATTGCAGGATTCCTCGTGGACGGCGCGCTTGGCATCAGAAGAGGCTTTGGCCACACTGAGTTGTCACATTAGACCTTTCTTGCAATGTGCGGAGCCTCATGGAACAAACTTTTGGAAATGGTGCTTTGATGTGCTTTGTGTATCTTTGTGTAACTAAGAGGAGTTTGGCAGCTCGGCATGTTTCTCTATTCGCTGAGGCCTGAGACAGCATCGAAAATCGGACAACAACGAGCTCAAGGCCCCGGCACAAAGGGCACCCCTCTTGAAAAACCCTGGTCAGGGACTTTGTGAATATTGAAAGTAAAGCCAACAAAATCTTGGCCATGCATGGAACATTGATGATTGTGGAATCTTTGAAGGAATATTGAGAAGACATTAGCTTGTACCGTGTACCTGTTATTGCACTTTTGTGTGGATTGAATCAAAATTTGTTGCACAGGTTGCTGCACAAAAGCTGTGGCAAAGTATCGATGCTGGGAAGGCAGGTCATTTTTTTGATCGGGAAGAATGATGAAGTTGGCACATGTTCCAACATGTTTTGGTGCTGTGGTTGCTGGGCAACAAGTTACAGGTGTGCGGACTTGCTCACTCTGTCCCAAACAAGTGATTGATTGGCCTTTTGTGTGAGACGGTTTGACCAAGAACTGGAGTTCAGTTCTTGGATTCCTTTCCGGTGTGTGACACATGCGTTCTGTTTCTTCGACTTGATTTGATTCGACCCACTCTCTGATCTTTTAAAGGACCCTGACCTTTTGCCCTGGCTTAGCCTTTGCACTCTTTCCCTGGCTCAGCTGCGTGCGAGCCAACGGATCATCTCGGTGTAGAAATAGTTTACGCATGGCGTGGGCTGAACAGTGCCAAGTTGACTAATCATCGTGTTTGGTGTTTGGAAAGTTGGTTTCCTGTATCCCCTTTCCACTTAGTGTCGAGCGCAAGGTGTGGACTCACGCAAGGGTGATGTCTGAGAGTGCAGTCAAAGTGATGCGCGTCTCTTCCTCAGCGGTGGGAATTTTATATAGAGTTTTCTGCAAGGAATCCAGGAAGCCTGCAGGCAGTGACAGGGATGGGAGTCCAAACTTTCATTGGCATCCTAACAGGTGTGATGCAGATTGGGAATACTGATGCAATCTGATACAGTGATGCTATGTGATAATTATGTGATACAGTATTCTTCGTATTCCTTTTTGATGTCGCAAACTCCCAGACCTTGTCCATTTTTGCCGTTGAACTGGGTGCCAAGGGGATGATCAACACCACAAAGTCAGGTGGGGCAATCGCAGCTGAGGTATAGGCAGTGTAGGGCTGACTAGGTCAGTGCCAGGTTGTCATGTGAGTCAGTTATGCCAGATATGTATTGCAATTTCTGCGGGTGAGTTTGACCGTTCCTTGTCGCATTCCGGAACCATCCGGAACCGTGAGGGTAAAGCATTGTGAGCACATTTAAACAATTTTAAACAGTTTATTTTAAACATTATTTGGTCTGGAGGCTGCTGTTGTGCTCAGAGTCTCCGCAAGCGCACCACATTTGGTGTTTTGTGGGCGATCAGCGCCATGGGCCGAGTTGTGCCATCGCGCACAACTTTGGGCTGCGTGCAGATCCCCAGTGATGTGACGTTGGAAGACGAAGGGCCACCTTTCGCAGAGCAGATGGGCATAGACATCCAGATGACCAAGGCAGCTCCGTAGCACACACACGCACACAGAGTTGCAGAGTTGCATGCAGATACCGATCATCATTCTGTATTAGGTGTGGCCCCCTTTTCCCCCTTTTGGATCCTGGATATGCTTCCGTGTTGTTTGACACGTGTGAGGTCCTAGTAGAGGTGTCAGAGCTCTGCAAGGCTACGCTACACTTGTTTTTGTTTCGGCATCTTGCCACGAAGGTCTCTTTCGATTCGGAGGACATTTGTGCCGGGACCTACCTGCGTGCGATGCAGCGTGAAGAACTCACGAAAGGAGCTAAAACCCTGGCAGCCCTTGCTGCATCTTTGATGCAAAGGGCATTAGGTCTGAAACAAACCTCTTGCTACAGTTGCATCCATTTCATACCCCGTCTTCACCTACAAGATGCAACAAGAATCATGCTGGCCTCGCGGACGTAACCAGAAGTCAGAAGTCCTTGACAGTCCTGTTTTGGAAAGTTTATAGGGAAAGCAGGGAAAGCTATTTCTTACAATTCCTGATTCCTGAGTTTCCTTTCAGGCGTGGCCACGCCTTGAGGTATCCTCTGGACAGAAGTGCGACGTCCTTGGATTGTCATGCACATCCTTTTCCTTCACCCTAGGCAAGGCTGAGCGGGTTAACCTTTTGTAAGCATCAACCTTGGCTGGGCACAAGCTTTGAAAATCATTGTGCAGTTGAGTGCGCCAAACCATTTGCGGACAATGTTGAAACTCCCAACACATTTTGCATCAGCAATCACTTCCTGCAACAGGCTCGGCCAAAGTGCGTGAGCAGATCAGTGCAGGCAGGAATGGCTAGGGCAGAAGAGAGACTCCATTGCCAGGTCTTGTGAATAGAGTCGAGTAGCCAGCTGTGGTGGCTTCCTGGGATCTCCATGACTTCCATTGACCTTCGTTTACCGTCCAAATTTGAATCAGCTGGAAGTCTTGTCTTGCAAATTTGGGGGACTGAAACCGGCGGTCTTTGATTGAAATCCTGATCTGTTATCTTGGATCTCGCAAAATCATGGCAACTGGCAACCACTTTGTTGCTTTGGGTAATCGAAGATGAGAAAAATGTATAAACATGTGTCAAACCGGGCCGATTGTGTGCAGCTTTAGTAAGATTGCTACTGTGGTATGGTATAGTTTGTCAAGTCTTTCCCATCTATTATCTGAAAATAGCCTTGGGGTTTTGCACTGAGAAAGATTTGCAACATCCTGCTATTAATGTTTGCAGATTCCACCTTTCCAATATTAGTGTAAGATTGTAAGATGGTATGTTGTGAGACCTGCTCCCATCGGAGGAAGATTGGACCAACTTGATTTGTTTGAACAGCACCGAACACGAACAACCAGCCCTTCCAAGCATTCAAGCTGGGGCACCCCACAGGAAGGTAATGGCACATTTGATGGAGAACATTCTAGGCGGCATGTCAAATCCCCATTCAGCCCAAACAGTATCAGATTCAGTATCATATGTCAATATCTCTCTTTTCCCATCTTTTCCCTGATATGATGTGATGAAGCAGGTGATGACTATGGGGGGGCATACCCATAGGGCAAGATGGTCCATTACAAGCTTCAACGCGTTCATCCCCTGGGAAAAGGACAACTCCAACCCGCAGAGCCTTGCCAGTCACGGATATGGCACAAGCACAGCTAGAAGCTTTGAAAGCCTTACAGGCAACCAATGCAGGGGCGGGGAAGGGCAAGGTGTGGCGTAGAATCAAAGAGCCAAGGGGTGCGGAGCAAGGTGTGTTGGATGTGCTTCAGGGTCCTTTCACATTGTGACAGCCCCGTCAAGATCCGTCAAGTTGAGTTGGGTGAGTTATGGTGAGTGCATGGTTCTCCGTTTCTCTGGAGCTGGCTCTTACACATCTATGATTCATCTATTGTCACGTGTCGGTGTTGGGAGTTGTAGCAGACATGCCGTGATTTGTTCAGTTGTCAGAACGTCAGCGACGCAAACAGTTTTTGGATGTCATCCTATGTCACACTTCAATTTTCCAGCACCTCATCCTTCAGAAGTATCATAAGTAGAACGGGCAGATAGATGATGATAGATGTATAAATGTGAAATGGGGCCTGGCAGAAGCGAACTGGCAACAAAGAAGTTCTCTCATTCCATTGTTTTTCACTTCAAGTGGAAGTCAAATGTCAAATTGTCCCATAATTTGTCCCATATGGCCCATGAGCCCATCCAAAGCCAACCTATTCTGCATTTGCCTGGCCCTGAGCAGGCAAAACAAGTAGCTTTGCTGACACCCTACATAGAGGAGTTGAGTCAAGCCAATGCGGAGATGTTGGAGTCCATGGGTGGCTTTCGAGTGGTGAGCAGGTGACCCGAAAGTCTTGTCCATCTTGTCCTGTGTTGTGGCAAGTGGCAAACGCAACAGAGCACGATGATGCAGCCGAGAAACACGCCAGCTATGGCAAACTCAGCGCCCTGTTTACCCTGAAAGACCCCTGCAGGTTGACAATGAATCTGCCCACCGATGACCTAACCTCAGCGGTGCCGCCAGCTGAAATCGTATCTTGACAAGTGCTTGCCTGATTGCTTACCGGCTTACCGCACCTTTCTGCATGAAAGGATACCCCCCAAAAAAAAGTGATTTGAAGTTCCGTGTTTTTGTGACCAATGCGAATCCTGGTCTGCTGAACCTGTCCCTAGATTACAATTCCCCTTGGCTTGCCGTCATCTCTTTGGGAGCATGAAGTGTTCACTTTCCAAGGCAGATTGGGCAGTTCGTACTGATTCTCCACAAGCGGATGTGTCTTTCTGTTTGTTTAAGGGCGCTTTTGCCCTAAATTTTTTGTTACTTTATTTGGTTTTGGATGCACAATCTTTGGCACATGACCGTCTCCAAGGCCTTCAACTTTTGCCGCCAAGGTCGTTGTCATCGGCTGCAGTGGTTTTCGTGCGTGCCAGCCGGACTTTCTCGATGCACTGGAGCAGAGACTCGGAAAACCGGTGGTGACTTCAACGCAGGCTTTCTTGTGGCACATGGACACTTGACTGAGCTACTATACGTGGCAGTGGCTTGTGTCAAACGCTTGGTATTGTTAGTGGTAATTTTTTGCCTTGTTGGTTGAGAGCCATGAGCATATTGCAAGTTTGTTGGATTGTGGCCATGGAGAGTTGTGAGGCACGCAGTGCTGGTGTCCAGAAGAAGATCAAAGGCTATGGTACCCTCCTGTCAAGCCATTGAGCATCATGGAACCATATGTGGAAATACGTGGAACAAAAAAACCAACATTGGAGTCTCATTAGAGTGCTATTGGTTTGAGCCTGCGAAAGGCTCTGGCCTGGGAGTCGAAAGCACAAAGATGCGGATCTCCTTGAGCCTCTTGCTCTTGCTGCAAAAGACCGTGCGCTACGTGCTTGCAGCCTTGCAGCAATGCAGAAGCGGCGATATGTAACATTCCTTCCTAAATAATGATGGAGAGTGGTTTTTGTGCAGCTTCGGCCTTTCATTTGAGAAGATTGGCGGGAGTCTATTGTGCCTGGACATGCGTTTGCACGCGCACCACCACCCAGTCTCAGCCGAAGCAGGTGAGCTGAAGGACTCCGACAGACACTTCATTCGCAGTGTGACGAGCGCTTTGATGCAACGGATGGTGGAGGCAGACTATGGCATGGCAGACTACTCTGAAATACTTTGAAGAGTTAGCATTGGGCACTCCAAACCAGGTGTGACAGCAAGGGGCTGCCAATAGAATGGAATAGAAAAGACATGGCCGACAAGAAGCAACTTCATCCGTGCAGGCTGGCGTGATAGAAAAGTCCGGCTCTCGGATGAGTGGTAGCATTTGAAATGCTCGCCCTCCCTGCAAGCTACCAGTATGACACACTGTATGGTAGATCGATGCTCACAATGAAGTATAGTGACACACAGACCCAAGATTCACCCGTAGATGCTAGTAGCATCATGTAGGATGTAGTAACGTAGTAGCAAGTAGCATCAACCGATTGGCTTGGAAAGGGGCTTCCAGTGGCTTCCATAGAATATACGTATGTTTTGTATTTCTCCATATTTCTCCATCAGTCCTTCTCCCTGATTGCCCGCCCTCAGCATCATTTCAGGAACGACACCAAGTCGCATCACCCCAAACATAAGGGCAGGCGCCGACAGCTTTGCAGTTTGCAGCACGTTCCTATCCCGAGCAGTTCTGCGGAAGCCTTGAGGTCGCAAATGGGCATACCGTGCCAATCAAGAATATTGTGTGTGTGTGTCAATTCGTTCTGCTGCCACTTCCAGTGACCGCTGTCCAGGATACTTCCCAACTTCAATCCATGATACTGCCAAGGCAGGCCGTGTCGCTCTGCCGTAACGCGTTGGGTGAGATGAGCCGTATCACCCGCTCTGGGCTTTCTTTGTCTTTCTTGTTTGGTCCTTGTGTGGTCAAGTGAAGTGGGCTGTTGGTGTGATAGATTTTCAGCTGACACATTTGAAAGTCTTCAGGTGGAAGACAGTGGAAGAGTTGACTTTCAAAATATTGAAACGATTGGACTTGCCTTGGGTTGCGTTTGCTTTGCATCTCTTCGTATGCCCTCCACTTTCCACACATTCATGCAGATATTGCAAAAACAAATCCATACAACTCCTGTGTGTGTGTGATTCTTATGGCGGTTCTCTTGGACCTGAAGGTCCGTCCCTGTGGCTGCCAAAGATGCAACAAGAGCAGACGGTCTATATAGACACAACTAGACTACAAGTTCTGAACAACTTTACTGTAGCTGATTTGAGCATATTCGAGCCACATGTTCTGAACAGTTTTGGAACGTTTGGCTACCTTGTCATTGTGAGATTTGTGAGTCCAGGATCCAGCTGAACATGCCAGCGGCTGCCAGCGAAGGAGTGGGCTCACTGTGCTGGTTTCGCGCTCCCGAAGGGAATGCGACGAATGCGAAACAAAGAAGGGATCTTTTGGCTGACGCACGGGCGCTGCCTTCCTGTCTCACTGACCTATGCTGGGGCTTTTCCCATTTGCCTGAAAGAATTCTAAGGATGTTGTTCCTTCCCTAGGCCAGGCTAGTCGCACCAGCTAGTTGATGTCAAAAAGGATTGATTGCAGCGGATTTAGGCACCTCAACTTTGTATCAGGAAGTGGTGATTGTTCTATGGATAGACGATGACAGACAGCGTGACGAGGAAGTTAGATAGACTTCAGACTCTCTTGTGCGACATTTTCTTTCCTGGGAACACTGGTGAAGCGTGGCAGTCAGTTCACCGGAGGCGCTCAACGGGACAAGCTGTGGCAATTTCACAGGAATGCTCGGGTTGCTAAGACTGAGTCCTAAGCAAGCGGTTGGGGCCGCCAGTGCGCCAGTTTGGGTTCACATGGACAAGGGCAGTTCAAAGGCAGTTCAACAGCAGTTCAGCATTTTTCCACCTCATCCCCTGCCATGCCGGCTCCAGCATACCAGCTGCTCGAAGGCTG